TCTCTCTTTTTTTAATGTTTCATTTTTGAGAGATAGAGACAGTGCAAATGAGGAAGGGGCAAAGAGAGGGAGACACAGAATCCAAAGTAGGCTCCAGGCTCTGAGCTGTCAGCACAGAGACTGATGCAGGGCCAGAACCCATGAACCATGAGATCATGACCTGAGCTGAAGTTGGATGCTTAACCGACTGAGCCACCCAGGCACCCCATGATAAGTGAACTCTTTATCCCCTTCACCTATTTGATCAATCTCCCAGCCCACCTCCCCTCTGGTAACCATCATTTTGTTCTCTATAGTTAAGGGTCTGTTTTTTGGTTTGTCTCTTTTTTTCCTTTGTCCATATATTTTGTTTCTTAAATTCCACATATAGGTGAAATCTTATGGTATTTGTCTCTTTATCTGACTAACCTATTTCACTTAGCATTACATCCTCTAGATTCATCCATGGTGTTGCAAATGGCAAGATTTTATTCTTTTTTTATGGCTGAATAATATTCTGTTGTATATAAATATACCACATCTTTTTTATCCATTCATCTAATGATGGACACTTGGGTTGCTTCCATATTTTGGTTATTGTAAATAATGCTTCAATAAACATAGGAGTGCATATATTTTTTCAAATTAGTATCTTTGTATTCTTTGTGTGAATACTTAGTAGCAGAATTACTGGATCATATGGTAGTTGTATTTTTAATTTTTTGAGGAACATCCATATGTTTTCCACAGTAGCTGTACCAGTTTGCATTTAAAAAAAATTTTTTTTTTAACGTTTATTTATTTTTGAGACAGAGAGAGACAGAGCATGAACGGGGGAGGGTCAGAGGGAGGGAGACACAGAATCTGAAACAGGCTCCAGGCTCTGAGCTGTCAGCACAGAGCCCGACTCGGGGCTCGAACTCACGGACCGTGAGATCATGACCTGAGCCGAAGTCGGCCGCTTAACCGGCCGCTTAACCAAGCCACCCAGGCGTCCCCCAGTTTGCATTTTGACCAACAGTGCATGAGGGTTCTTTTTTCTCTATATCCTCCCTAACACTTGTTGTTTCTTGTGCTTTAATTTTAGCCATTCTGACAGTTGTGAGGTGCTATCTCACTGTGGTTTTGATTTGCATTTCCCTGATGATTAGTGATGCTGAGCATCTTTTCATGTCTGTTGGCAGTTCCTTTGCCCATTTTTGAATTGGGTTGCATTTGTATGTATGTATATGAGTTGAAAATATTTTCTCCTATAGATTGTCTTTTAACTCTCTTGATTGTGTCCTTTGATATATACAAGTTTTAAATTATGATTAAGTCCAGTTTATCTATTTTTTCTTGGGTTGCTTGTGCTTTTTGGTGTGATATCCAAGAAATTATTGCCAAATCCAATATCATGAAGATTTTCCCCAGTGTTTTCCTGTAAGAGTTTTATAGATTTAGGTCTTTGCATTTAGGACTTTGATCCACTCAAGTTAACTTTTGTATATGGTGTAATGTAAATAGTAATGTGTTTTTAATTTTAAATTCCAGTTCATTACTGGTGTGTATGAATGTGACTGACTTTTTTTACACTAACCTTGTATCCTGAAGCCTTATTACAATTGCTTATCAGTCCCAGGAGGTTTTTTTAATAGATTCTTTAGGATTGCTACATAGATGGTTATGTCATCTGTGAACAGTTTTATCTTTTTTCCTTCCAATCTGTATCTCTTCTCTTCTCTTCTCTTCTCTTCTCTTCTCTTCTCTTCTCTTCTCTT